TGGACGGTTGGCTCCATAGCTAGTATAGTTCAGTATTGTCAAAATGAGAAATGGATGATGCATTGATGTTGGTTGGGGTACATATAGCTAACCCTAAGTTTTGTACCCCCTAAGACAAACCTCACTATAGGCTACAACATTTGACACACCCCCATAGCCTAAGTGAGGGGTGTCTAGCAGAACCAAACGAGTACGGTCACAAGACCAGTCCAAGAAACGAAGCTCAGGGTGGATCACAACGTCACCACACAGTCTGAGCACAAACAACAGTGGCCACAAGGCCAGTCCAAGAAGTAACAGAGATATATAGAAAGCAAAGTAAACAGTACACTCAAGTCTAAGCAACACGAGAACCAGTGTCAACAAGGCCTAACTGCACACAGCACCTCTGGTGGTCACAAGGCGGAAGCGCCTTGGTGAAGATGTCTGCAGTGTTGGCCTCGGACTCCACAAACTCAAAGCGAGCCTGTCCACGCCTCTGCAACTCTCGCAGAAGAAAGTACCTGACGTGAATGTGCTTCACTCTGCTCTCCAGTCGTGGCTCTCGACAAAGGAGAATAGACGCCTTGTTGTCAGTGAACAAGGTCGGTGCAGAGCTCGGCCGCTCACCAAGGTCGGTGAGCAAGAAGGTCAACCAACGCAGCTCCTGTGCCGCCATGGCACCAGCGTAGATCTCAGCCTCAGCTGTAGAGGTCGAGACCGAAGAGGAGCGCGTGGACCGCCAGGAAACAGCTCCAGAACCCAGGCTGAAACAGTACCCCTGAGTAGACCTGTGAGTCTCAGCGTCGTCAGCGTAAGAGGAGTCACAGTGACCAGTAAGTACGACAGACTGCTGCCCTCCAAGAACTAGCCCCACGCCTGATGTCGTCGCTAGGTACTTCGCCACCCTCACAGCTGCTGTCCAGTGAACAGGACGGTGTCTCCCTGGCGCAACAAAGCGCGCAAGAACGCTGAGAGGGAAGGCGAGGTCCGGGCGAGTACAAGTCATCAGGTACATGAGGCAACCCACAAGCTCTGCGTAGGGACCACTAGGCTCGAACGACTCGTCAGGAAAGGGTCCAGTGAGTCTGTGGTCAACAGCAAGAGGTGTGCGCTGTACTGTGGAGTGCTGAAGCCCGAACCGCTGAAGGACCTGCTGCACCATGTGTGACTGTGAAAGTGTAATGGTGCGAGCAGCTCTGTCCCTGGTGATCTGCAGGCCAAGGTAGTGGCGCAGCTCACCAAGATCAGTGCAGGTGTGTCTCTTCTGCAGTTCGGACTTCACGTGTGCCAAAGCAACCCTGTCAGGGGTGGCGAAAACAAGGTCGTCAACGTAGACCAGAACAAAGAAAGGTGTGGGGCCACGACGAACGAACAGCGACGGGTCAGCAGAAGACGGCTGGAACCCAAGGTCAGACAGGGTAGAACGCAGGGTGTCGTGCCACTCACGAGGAGCCTGACGAAGACCGTAAACCGGTCGCCTCAGCCTCCACTGGGTCCCAGGAGGGAAAGAGCCAGTGAAGGCAGAGGGACGACGCAACCAGACCTCCTCGTGAAGACTGCCCTGAAGGAAAGCAGTAGAGAAGTCGAGAGAGTGTAACTCATAGTCTCTCTGTGCTGCTACGTGTAGTAACACCCGAAGAGTGGTCATCTTCGGGGTGGGCGCGAAGGTCTGAAAGAAGTCAACTCCCTCGCGCTGACTGAAGCCTCTAGCCACATAGCGCGCCTTGAAGACCGGAGGAGATCCCGGTGGCCGCTTCACCCTGTAGATCCACATGCCGTCGACTACGTTCGCCCCCGGAGGGGGAACCTCATCGACGTAGGTGCCTGTGGATCTGTAGGAGGCCATCTCTGCGTCCATGGCAGCTCTCCACTGAGAGGCCCAAGGCCCTGACACTGCCTCAGCGTAAGTGCGAGGAGTCGGAATGTCAAGGGCGTCGGGGTCACCCTCAGGGGCGAGGAGCATGGCACAGAGATGAGGGGAAGCGGCCGCCAGGAACTCTAGCTCAAACTGCCTGTCCTCTAGGGCGTCACAGCCAAGGGCAGACACACCCCCGACGGCCAGAGGACTGGAAGGAGGAGCAGCCACAAGAGCGGTGGCGAAGTCAAGGCGGCGGGTAGAGGCAAAGTCAGTGACTGCGGCAGTAAGAGCGGACACAGAGGACACAGAGGCACGAGGGTGGGTAACAAGAGAGGCGAGAACACGAGAGAGAACAGGACGGTACGTGCGGTAGTAGTCAGTGACAGGAGAAGGAAGCGACACAGTGAGGGCCGACTCAGGAGGAGACGGAAGCACAGACGGAGACGGACGAGGTGGACGAGAACAAAGGAAGGCTGTACGAAGGTCAGTGAAGGGAACAGGAGACGAGGGACGAGCACGAGGGGAGCGACGAGAGGCCCAAGTCTGAGAAGGAGGAGGAGACAACGAAGACTGAGAACGAGGGAAAACAGCGGGAGAGGGGTCAGGAGGAGGAAGCGGAGGACCAGAGACAGGAGGAGAGGGGGAGGAGGAAGGAGAGGGAGAGGGGAGACCAAGGGTCCGAAGACCCGAGACAGGAGGAGGAGACGGCAGCAGCTGCTGCTGCTGCTGCTGCTGCGGCTGCTGCGGCTGCTGCTGCTCCAGCGGCTGCTGCCCCTGCTGCTGCTCCTGCTGCTGCTCCTGCTGCTGTCGCTCCTGCTCCTCGAGCCGCTGCAACTCTCTCTCCTCTCTCTCCAACTCCAGCTGCTCCTCACGAGCACGGCGAACACGAGCCTGGAACCTGGTCGGATAGGGGTGGGGGGAAGGAGTAGTGTCCGGGGCAGCGGCAGCCCCAGAGTCGACCTCCGAAGCACCAAGCACACCACCCCCAGAGGCAGCACTAACACCAGCTCCAGACCCAGGCTCTCCAGAAACCGAAGGGACACCCTCACCCCCAGACGCAGCACCCCCAGACTCCGCACCAGCACCCCCAGACTCCGCACGACCAGTACCAGCCCCCGGAAGACAAGAGTCCTCTGCAACCCGCGGCTCAGCTCCAACTCCAGCACCCCCAGAACCAGAGACCTGTACAGGGACAGTCGCAGGACCAACCTCCCGAGAGGGAGCACCTGCAGGAGGCGGCGAGGAAGACTGTGGGGAGGGAGGCTGTACAGGGGGGGCTACCGAAGGGGGAGGGCTAGCCTGAGACACACCAGACGGGGCTGGACCAGGGGGGGGAGGCTGTACCGGGGGAGCAGGCGGGGGAGCGGCGGTCAGGAAGAGAGGGGGGGGAGGGACCGGGAGACCTCGACTGGGGTACCTGACGTAGTAGGGGGTGGACTCCTCGAAACGGACGTCACGGGAGTCAAAGAACCGGTGAGAGGGAGGGTGGTAAAAGGTGAAGTCAGAGGAGTCCTCAGGGAAACCAAGGAAGACACAAGGAACGGCGCGAGGCGAGAGCTTGTCCGCTGAGGTGTCGCGGACAAGAGCCAAGCACCCCCAGACACGAAACCTCGACGCGACACCAGGGGACCCTGTCCAAAGACTGGTCGGTGAAGCCTCTGGCCGAGAGACGCGTGGCCAGAGGTTCAGCTGGTGCGCGGCGTACCTGACCGCGTATGGCCACAGGAAATGGGGGGCACGGGCGTGAGTCAAGGAGGTGCGGGCAATCTCCATGACCAAGCCTATGCGACGCTCAGCAACCCCATTCTGCTGTGGGGACTCCGGAAGCGTCCAGGACTGACGAATGCCCTGTTCGCGACAGAATCCAGCGAGAATGCCGGAGCGAAACTCGCCCCCGCGGTCGGAGTGGAGACAGCTGACACGACGACCACGAGTGTCCTGGGTGGTAAGCAACCACCTGATCAGCGTAGAAGTCACCTCAGACTTCCTCGCCAGGGGGAACACTGTGGTGTAGCGGGAGTAGTCGTCAACGACCACCAAAAAGAAACGCTCACGCTCAGGGCCAGGGCGAGGAGCTGGGGCGCGGGCCTGGGCGACGGGCTAGGACGCGAGCAGGGGGAACCGCGGGTCGACAGGCAGCGGGGGGAAGCGCGGGTCGACGGGCAGCGGGGGGAAGCGCGGGTCGACGGGCAGCGGGGGGAAGCGCGGGTCGACGGGCAGCGGGGGGAAGCGCGGGTCGACGGGCAGCGGGGGGAAGCGCGGGTCGACGGGCAGCGGGGGGAAGCGCGGGTCGACGGGCAGCGGGGGGAAGCGCGGGTCGACGGGCAGCGGGGGGAAGCGCGGGTCGACGGGCAGCGGGGGGAAGCGCGGGTCGACGGGCAGCGGGGGGAAGCGCGGGTCGACGGGCAGCGGGGGGAAGCGCGGGTCGACGGGCAGCGGGGGGAAGCGCGGGTCGACGGGCAGCGGGGGGAAGCGCGGGTCGACGGGCAGCGGGGGGAAGCGCGGGTCGACGGGCAGCGGGGGGAAGCTCGGTTCGACGGGCAGCGGGGGGGGGGGGGGGGGGGGAAGCGCGGTTCGACGGCAGCGGGGGGGGAAAGCGCAGCGCGACCTGCAGCGGTACGCTAGATCGGGCTACGCTAGATCGGGAGGAAGAACGAGCGGTAACGAACGAACGGGACTAGATCGGGCCGGCACTAGGCTCGGGCAAGACGGGCGAAACGAGAGCTAGGATCAGGCTCGGGTGGTACGATCGGAGAACGGAGAAACGGGATCCCACAGGATCCTAACCTAACTGATACCATGTCAAAATGAGAAATGGATGATGCATTGATGTTGGTTGGGGTACATATAGCTAACCCTAAGTTTTGTACCCCCTAAGACAAACCTCACTATAAGCTACAACATTTGACAAGTATGTACTTGCATGTGTTTTAGAACGATGCAATGTTGTAATAGGCCAGTTGCAATGAGAACGATGCCCCTGTTGCAATGAGAACGATGCCAAATTACAAGGAATAGAAAGCAAGCTTTCTCAATTAATAAAATAGTTGAATGTGCTGCCAAACCCCTAAGAAAAAGGGGGAGCCCAGCCCCACAAGGAAAAGCCTTAGAAGCAACTCTTTCAATCTTTTTCCAAAAAGGGTTATTCTCTCCGGTGGCAATGCTGTGATTTTGTTTGGCTGGGTCCGCATGGGTTATTGATTGTGCGTTAGTGTGTCCTTGCGCTGGGTGCGCATAAGTTCTGAAACTCTTTGCAGGTTGGCAAAAGTGTAGACAGCATTGACCACGTCGTTATAACGAACTATGCGTTGGAGGGAGTTCTGTTTTTCCATTGGATAGATCAGACTGGATATTGAAGTCAATCGCTAATCGCACGCCTGCAAATGTTCCTCCCAGAAAGGCTGAATCTATGCCGTTCATTTCCACTCCCTTACCACTGTACATACCCTCCTCACTCCACAGTTCCAGACAACTTTGAAGGCACGTCGCGTCGCCCAACGCTTTAATCTCCTCCGAAACAGCTCTTGAATTCAAGAAAGACCTCAAATCAAAGCCACTCTGCATATCGTTATTATATCTCTCTGAAGACATACGGCGAGTCGTTGCTTGCCATTCTCACATTATTCCAAACGAATACGCATCTGCTAATCCTACATTTTGCGTAATCAATTGTATAGCACTGAGGGTAGTCGGTTTTAGCTTTCACCAACATCTTGGGTTACCACTGGAAGCTTTCTATCCCTTGTTGGTAACCACTAGTACGTTACATTTCGTTGTAGCCCGTTTTCATCGCGCGACCAGGGCGATAGTCGATACTTATAATGGCGGAATGGTGGGCGTGGTTATTGGTTGCGATCCCCGTTATAGTGGTTTCGTTTGAGATCCTCGCGTGGGCTTGCCGGCCAAAGCGAATATCGTTAAAGGTGAAAGTGTGAAATATTGACTTAGTATCGCGTACAAAGAGCCACCTTCCCTTTCTCTGTCACATTTTCGAAACATTGGCCCATTCCCTTTCTCGCATGTGGCTTCAGAGGCATAGGGTTGTCATAGGGGAAGTGTCAATCACGTGAGGGGTTCCCCTTTTCTCCCTCGCTGCTGCTCCTTCCGCGTTTCCCACACACCCACCCGCAGGGCAAGGCCGTGCTGATAGTGGGTGGTTCGAGTGGCATTGGGCTGTGCATAGGCGAACTGACAGTGCAGCAGGGGGCGAGGGTGGCGATAGTTGCTCGCAACAAGGAGCGACTGGCCTCTGCTCACAAGCAGGTGTGTGCTGCAATCAGGGTTTGCATGCATTCAGCAGGGATCTGATAGTGGCGGCAGATGCGTAGTTCGTACCATCAGGCAGAAGGGCTGTTGAAGGGTCAAATTTCACCCCGTTTTCCATCCGTCTGTGTCGCTCCCTCTTTTTCCTTTTCACCCCTCTCAGCTGGAGGCGTTGCTTCCACCCGACACACCCTCGTCCGATTTCCTCCTGTCCGTGGCGGCCGATGCGGCGACTTTTGGGTCAACTCAAAACTTCTCCTCTCCCTGTTTCCCTCTCTCATTCATACTCACCCCGCCCAGCTAGAGGCCTTGCTTCCACCCGACACACCCTCGTCTGATTTCCTCCTGTCCGTGGCGGCCGATGCGGCGAATCCGGACGATGCAGCGAGAGCCGTTGATCAGGTGGTGGGCGCGTTTGGACGGCTGGATGTGGTCATCTGCTGCCAGGGGCAGAGCACTCCGCATCAATTTGAGTTCGATACCGTGGAGAACCAGCAGCAGGTGGGTTTGTGGGGAGAAGCAGCAGCAGCAGCAGCAGCAACAGGTGAGTGCAAATGAAGAAGCAACAGGTGTGTGATTGTCTGCTGCCAGGGGCAGAGCACCCTGCATCAATTTGAGTTTGATACCGTGGAGAATCAGCAGCAGGGGTGTGTGTGTGTGTGTGTGTGTGTGTGTGTGTGTGTGTGTGTGTGTGAGGAGCAGCAGCAGATGAGTGTGTGTGTGTGTGTGAGGTGAGTAGCTGCAGCAGGTGCGTGTGTGAAGGGAAAAGCAGTGCATGTGTGGTGATCTGCTGCCAGGGGCAGAGCACACCGCATCAATTTGAATTCGATACTGCGGAGAATCAGCAGCAGGTGCGCATGTGAGGGCCGTCAGCTATTCTCCATAACCTCGGGAGAATAGCTTTGAGGGCCAACTTGAAAGACTACGGGTATTTCAATTCAGTCTATGTCTTTCAAGCAACCCTGCTTCCCGCTGGCTTGCTCCTTGTATTCCTCTCTTTCCCCCACTCAGTGCACCTTTGAGTCGATACCGTGGAGAATCAGCAGCAGGTGCGTGTGTGTGTGTGAGGAGCATTAGGTGAGCAACTGGGCCTCAGTGTATGTGCTCCGAGAAGCCCTGCCTCAACTTGTATCCCCTTCCTCACTGTCCATTCCTCATCCTCCCTCCTCCGTCCTTCTTCACCCCTCGCGCCCCCCATCAGCTCATGAACGTCAACTACTGGGCGTCAGTCTATGTGATTCGAGTAACCCTGCTTTAACGTGTTACAGCAATTCTCATTCCTTGTTACAACCCCCATCTTGCTCCCCCCTCTTGCCCCAATCAGCTCATGAGCGTCAACTACTGGGCGTCAGTGTATGTGATTCGAGTAACCCTGCTTTAACGTGTTACAGCAATTCTCATTCCTTGTTACAACCCCCATCTTGCTCCCCCCTCTTGCCCCAATCAGCTCATGAGCGTCAACTACTGGGCGTCAGTGTATGTGATTCGAGTAACCCTGCTTTAACGTGTTACAGCAATTCTCATTCCTTGTTACAACCCCCATCTTGCTCCCCCCTCTTGCCCCAATCAGCTCATGAACGTCAACTACTGGGCGTCAGTCTATGTGATTCGAGTAACCCTGCTTTAACGTGTTACAGCAATTCTCATTCCTTGTTACAACCCCCATCTTGCTCCCCCCTCTTGCCCCAATCAGCTCATGAACGTCAACTACTGGGCGTCAGTCTATGTGATTCGAGTAACCCTGCTTTAACGTGTTACAGCAATTCTCATTCCTTGTTACAACCCCCATCTTGCTCCCCCCTCTTGCCCCAATCAGCTCATGAGCGTCAACTACTGGGCGTCAGTGTATGTCATCCGAGCAGCCCTGCCGCTCCCTTCCCCCCCTCAATACACCCTCTGTGCATCCCCCTCCCTCTCTTCCCCGCATCAGCTCATGAACGTCAACTACTGGGCGCCAGTCTGTGTCATCCGAGCAGCCCTGCCTGCGGTGAAGGGAGCACGCAAGGAGGGAAGAATAACAACCGGCATCCCTCACCCCTCCCCCCTCCCCACCTCCCCTGGACCCCCATCAGCTCATGAACGTCAACTACTGGGCGCCAGTCTATGTCATCGGAGCAGCAATGCCGGCAGTGAAGAGAGCACGCAAGGAGGGAAGAATAACTACCCGCATCCCTCACCCCCGTTTCCCCGCGTCCCCTCCTTCCCCCCCCCATCAGCTCATGAGCGTCAACTACTGGGCGTCAGTCTATGTGATTCGCGCAGCGCTGCCAGCCGTGAAGAGAGCAGGCAAAAAGGGACGGATAATGCTGGTGTCATCACAAGCAGGGCAGGTGAGAGAGGGGGTGAGCGGAGGGGCAGGCAGGCAGGAGCAGCATGAAATGCCTTGGTGAAGGTTCAATGAGTACGACAGAGCAGCCCTGCCAGCAGTGAAGAGAGCAGGCAAGGAGGGACGGATAATGCTGGTGTCGTCACAAGCAGGGCAGGTGAGATGGTATGGGGAGAGGAGAGCGATGGTAAGAGAAGGGTAACAGAAGGTTAAGATGAGGCGAAGGGGAGGGTAACAGCGGTTCAAGGAATAAGAGCGAGAATGCCTGCCTGCCGTGAAGAGGGCGGGTAAGGAGGGAAGGATAATGCTCGTGTTGTCTCAGGCAGGGCAGGTGAGGCGTGGAGAGGGGCTGGGGAAGGAGTGGGCGAGGCGGAAGAGGACAGGATGAGAAGTGTGAGTAAGATAGAGGTTCCCCCCCAGCGGTCAATAGGGTGGGCAAGGAGGGAAGGATAATGCTGGTGTCGTCCCAGGCAGGGCAGGTGAGAGGGAGGGGTTAATAGGAGGGCTTTACTGGGCGCTAGGAAATCTGGAAGGGCTATGTGTTGCGAGCAACCCTGCCAGCTTAAAGAGGGGTTTTGAGATGTCTCAAAACAATGCCAGCTGTGAAGAGGGGTTTTGAGACGTCTCAAAACAATGCCAGCTGTGAAGAGGGCGAGCCTGTGGGTGAAGTGAAGGGAAGGATAATGCTGGTGTCTTCTCGAGCAGGACAGGTGAGGAGTAGAAGGGGGAGGGGTGGAAAAAGTGGGGGAAGAGGCGGAAGAGGAGGGGAGGAGAAATGAGGCTAAGAGAGGTTTAAGGACTAAGAGAGAGCAGCCCTTGTTTTCCTGCCCCGTTCCCCTATTCAGCTTCCCACTTCCAAGTGGGTATCTATGGCTACTCAACCTACTCGGCCGCAACATTCCCTTTGAGAAGCCTTGCAGAGGCCTAATCCCTGGCCTGGTACATGTGGGGACTCGCATTGTGATGTCGCGAGTTGCCCTTCCCCTCCCATTCAATTGTTCCCCTGCCCGGCGACTTGTTTTTTTTTTCTCCTGTCCAGGTGGGCATATACAGTTACACAGTGTACTCAGCTGCAAGATTTGCCCTGAGGGGGCTGGCAGAGACACTACAGATGGAGCTAATGCATGTGGGGACGCGTGTGGTGATGCTGCCCTGTCCCGTGTCCCCCTTTTCCCCATTCCAGGTGGGTATATACGGCTACACGGCCTACTCAGCCGCCAAATTCGCTCTAAGAGGACTGGTAGAGGCGTTGCAGATGGAGCTGGAGCACGTGGGGACCCGCGTTGTGTGAGATGCTGCTGCAGGCACACTCCTTCAATGAAATAGCTCATTCCCTTGCTCCCCTTTCCCCATTCCAGGTGGGTATAAACGGCTACACGGCCTACTCAGCCGCCAGGTTCAAGTCCTGGAGTGATTTGAAAGCACCCCATTGCCATGTTTCCCCTGTTCCACCTTCCAGGTGGGCATATACGGCTACACGGCCTACTCAGCCGCCAAATTCGCTCTAAGAGGACTGGCAGAGGCGCTTCAGATGGAACTGGAGCACGTGGGAACTCGCATTGTGATGCTGTTTCCACCAGATACTGACACGCCCCAGCTGCAGCAAGGTGAGTGGGGGACAAGTGCCGATGGCAAGGTGCGAATGCGCTCAGAGGAACATGAGGGGGGGCGGGGGGGGACAGTGGCAGAGGCACTGCAAATGGAGCTGGAGCATGTGGGAACGCGCATTGTGATGCTGTTTCCACCTGATACCGACACGCCTCAGCTGGAGCAAGGTACGTTTGCCCTCCGAGGGTCATGATGTGTACTTGATACCGGCACTGGCAGAGGCGCTGCAAATGGATCTGGAGCACGTGGGGACGCGGGTGGTGATGCTGTTTCCACCTGACACTGACACACCTCAATTGCAGCAAGGTGAGTGAGGGGAGAGCGCAGACAGCAAGGTATATTTGCCCGCAGAGGAACATGAGGGGCACTGGCAGAAGCACCGGCAGAGGCGCTATAAATGGAGGTGGTGCATGTGGGGACACGCATTGTGGTGCTCTTCCCTCCTGAAACTGACGCACCTCAGCTGCAGCAATCTGGCAGACTGGCAGTCACCAAGGCCATCACAGAAGGCAGCAAGCCCTTCCCTCCCGCGGCGGTCACGGGAGCTACAAATCCCTCTCCTCCCCCTCCCCTGGTCCCCCGCTCCCACACTCCAGAGGACGAGACCAATCACCTCTCCTCCCCCTCCCCTGGTTCCCCCTTCCCTCCTTCCACTTCCCTTCCAGAGAACGAAACCAAGCCAGCAGTCACCAAGGCCATCACACAACGCAGCAAGCCCTTCCCTCCCATGGCGGTCGCGAGAGTAGTGGGAGCTGCAATCCCTCTCCTCCCCCCCACCCCTTTCCCCATTCAGAGAACGAGACCAAGCCGGCGGTCACAAAGGCCATCACAGAAGGCAACAAGCCCTTCCCTCCCATGGTGATCACGAGAGTGATGGGAGCTGCAATCCCTCTCCTCTCCCCCACCCCTTTCCCTCTTCAGAAAATGAGACCAAGCCGGCGGTCACCAAGGCCATCACGGAAGGAAACAAGCCCTTCCCCCCCATGGCGGTCGCGATAGCTGCGATCTCAGCCGTTGAGCGCGGAGATTTCCTCGCTCCAGTGGGATTCGACGGCTGGATGCTCAGCATCGCCACTGCAGGTGAGTCAGCTGGCTGCTGCTCTTCTGTCAATTCTTTCTGCTTCTTCTGGCATTTCTATCTTTTTCTGGCATTTCTGTCTTCTTCTGCTCCCCACCACCCCCTCGCGCTACTCTCCCCTCAACATACCATCCCCCACACTTTCCTCTCCATCCCTTTTTAGAAGTTTGGCTCCCTATGCGTCTCCCTACCCCTCCCACCTCCTCTCCCCCCTCGCTGGCAACCACCCCCTTCTCTTTCCTCCCCATCCTCGTTATAGGCATGTCCCCATGTGTGTCACTCAACAAGCTCTTACTGGAGCTGCTTCTAGCGGGACCGATGAGGCTGGTGGCAGCAGCAACAGTGGCGGGCTTCAATGCGAGGGCAAGGAGGTGGTATCGAGTGAACCACGGCAGAGGAACGTGAGTATGCTCTCCTTTTCCGGCTGTTCGACTGCTAGCTCTGTGGGAGGAAGTAGCACAATGGGGGACATGTGTTTGTGCTCTGGCCTTGGGTGCGAGTTCATGTGTTTTCAAGAGTTTTCATCTCCTAACAAAATTTAAAACCAATAAAATGTTTCGTTTTTGCATGCGACGCTTTCTTTTCCCTTGCTTTGCAGCACGGCACGCAAGTGACTATTGCTGAATTACCTACTGGTGAGACACAACCATGCTCACATGAGGAAGCATTCAAGAGAACGTTTGCAATTATTTCACTACCTACTTTTTTTTTCTCCCCCCCCCTTCCCCCACCCTCCCCCCCCCTCCCCTCCCCCTCACCTCTCCCCTCCCCTCCCCTCTCACTCTCTTGCTTTCCATATACATCAACGGCATTGCATGGGCAGGCATGAATATCACAAGAAAGCATGTTAGCATTGTTCTTCTATACTTGAAAGTTAAACAAAAGGGCAGAAAATGGCACGAATTTATTGTGGCTGGTCGTGTAACCTCTATCATTCCCGCGAACAAGTAGCTTCGTTTCGTGTATATGTTGTAACAAGACGCCAACTGTGCAGTATTTGGGGACTTTGTTTTCGCAGAGTTTCAGCCAATGGACACGCGACTTGACACACATGACCTTCTCTGCTAGGCAGCAGCCGCCACAAGCACGAAACAGCAGCACCTGATTGGTTGGGGCTGCTGATCCACAGCGGCACCGCAGGGCAACCAACCAAGCCCAAGAATTCGTGGCTACAAATTCCCCAGGGGGAGTCAGGTCAGGATGAAGCGCAGGCGTACTGTACAGCGAAACGAAACTCCCCACCCGACTGGGGGTCAATTCGGCTGCTCGGCTCGCCGCGGAACAACCGACGGGGCAAAGTTCCGCGGAACCTCCGGCGGAAACGGGGAAGTCGAATCGCGTCTGCCTGCAATTTTCGAGGAGGGAGGGACCCGCGCACGCCCGCCTGCCCTGTCTGTCATTCGTTCCTCACCACTGCCAGATTTGAGGTCAGATTCACGCCTCGATTCTTCATACCCCTCCCCTCCCCTCCCCGCAACTCGAGCCAGGGCCAACACGGCTGGAGGACATTTGGCACTTCCAAGATACACTCCCAACGGCTGTACGGTTCGCTGAGTCTGGGGCTACTTGATTCCTTCTTCTGACTCTCTGCTATGCGGTGCTGCTGATTTAGGAGCCTCTAAGGACGTTACACGTAGCGCTACGGGGAGAGCTTCCTTCGGTACTCAGACGGGGCCATGTAACGACTCTAATACTAAGGCCAAAACTTCAACAGTCATCTCAGTAAACTGCTTAGTTGCCTGTCCGTGCAATCTGCACACGCTGTTTCGAGCGCGACCGTTGCTTCCTTTTTCAGCTTGTGACGATTTCCCCTTGCGTTTCTTCCTCGTTCGGTTGCTGCGATAGCATCCTTCCTCGTTGCACTCTCGTGCCGGCCAACGAATAACAGTAGTAAAGCTGCAGATTGAACGCACCCGCGAGAATTAAGTTCTCCCCGCTTCCACCTCCAACCCCCGCGAATGGCGGCACCGACAAGAACAGTAACCGCACCAACCGCAGCAATGCCCAATTCTCTCTCGATAGTAGCACCTCGCTGCGGAAGCGCCGTTCATGAATGTCACAGTGCCGTCATCACCCGTCCTTTAGCTGTTAAAAGACATGCTTACAATTTACCTCCAAGTCTGACCTCTCGGGAAGCTCAAAGCTCTCGCATAGTTCGCAGAGGCTCTTCCGACCGCGTCGCTTCGAGTTACACTCGACCATCGTTCACTACTAAGCACGGCGCGGTACGGGTGCGGGCTCAGGGTCCCCCCACCGCCGCCGCCGCCGCCAGCGCAGGCGCCGCGGGAGCATCCGATTTTTCCGAGGTGCGTTTTTGTCTGCTGCGGTATTTATCCAGCGCCGAAATTACCATTATATGGTTCAAATTTTCGAGTTTACCCCGTCCCTACGGCCCTTGCTGGCGACTTCCCCGCTCTTTTAGTTCTTAATAAGCACTCTTACTTCGTCGCCTCACTTAATTTCCCTAATTCTACGTTTCCCTCCGTCGCTTTCTCCCATCTCCCTGCACCCTCCTTCCCTCTCACCCGTTTCCCCCTCCCCCCTTCGCCCCCTTTCCCAATCCCCCCACTCCCCTCCCCCGTTCCCCCCTCTTTCCCCCACCATCCTTCTCCCCCCCCGCCCCACTCCCTCCCCGATCGCCGCCCTCCTTCCTACCACTCGCCTGCGCGCGCTTCGACAGTTTGCCGCTGCCATTCCGCAACCGGCGCCGCCAGAAGCGGAGAAGAAGCAGCCAATCAGCGACCTCGTGTGGCCCGCCGTCGGTGAGTGGGAACGCGCCGGGGTCTACCGGGATTGGACTACGAGTGACGCTGGGTTGCCTCGGGTGGGCTGCGGTGGGCTGGAATGGATTGGTGGGGTGAGCTGGGTTGGGATGCGGCGTGCTCGGGTGGGTTGGGGTGGGCTGGGTTGGGTTGGGTTGGGTTGGGTTGGGTTGGGCTGGAGTGGGCTGGGGTGGGTTGGGATGGGTTGGGGCTGAGGTTGAGCTGCTTTTTTCCAACCCTTCCCATCCTTCGTCCCTCCCTCCCTCGTCCTTCTTCCCTCGTCCTTGCGCCTTCCTTCGCATCTCATCGCACCGCATTCCACTCCTCCTTCGTCCGTCTCACACCACCAGACTCCTTCGACTCTTTTCTCCCCTTTCCGGTTCGCGGTGGCAATTCTTAAGGCTCCAGATTAACCCCCTTCTTTCTTGTTCCTCTCCTTTTTCCTCCTCTTCCTCCTTGCTTCCCATCTCGTTTCATCTCATCCCTTTGCATCCCCCACGCTTCCTTCGTCCTTCCTCGCTCTGCCTGCCTTCTACTGCCAGGCGCATTCGTTTCCTTCGCGGGGTTTGCGTTAGCAGACCATCTCTTACAGTCACACGGCCTCACAGTCTCCCTCTTATTCCTCCTCCTTCGTCCCTTCCTCCCCTTACCCTCCAGGTGCCTTCGTGTCCTTTGCAGGGTTTGCGTTAGCAGACCATCTGTTACAGTCACACGGCCTCACAGTCTCCCTCTTATTCCTCCTCCTTCGTCCCTACCTCCCCTTACCCCCCAGGTGCCTTCGTGTCCTTTGCAGGGTTCGCGTTAGCAGACCATCTGTTACAGTCACACGGCCTCACAGTCTCCCTCGGTTCCTTTGGTGCAGTCTGCTGCCTCCTCTTCGCCCTGCCGCAAGCACCCGTCTCCCAGGTGAGTGCGCATCCTTGCTTGAGGTAAATCAGGTCCATATTCAGATGCTTTCAACTGTCTTCTGCCCCCTCTTCGCCCTGCCGCAAGCGCCCGTCTCTCAGGTAAGCACATCCGTCTCTCAGGTCAGGTAGTTGTTCAGGTGATTCAGGTTATTCTTTGGTTAATTTCACTGTGCATCGTCCCTCTCTAACCCTCCACAGCGCAAGACCATCCTGATAGACCATCTGGGAATGGCGTTCATAGGAGTGGCGATCTTCTGCCTGCTGAAACTTCTTTCTCACTCCCTACTCTCCTTCCCTTCCCACACCATCGTCCCCTCCTCTCCTCAAAACTTTCAGCGCAAGACCATCCTACTCGCTCATGTGGGAACGGCCCTCAAAGGAGTGGCGCTCTTCTGCCTGATGGGATCTTCACTCCTCTATTTCCCCTTCAAATCCCCTTCCCCTCGCCCCTGCCTCACAGCGCAAGACCATTCTCATCGCCCATCTCGTAACGGCGTTCATAGGGGTGGACCGTGGCGGTCTTCTGCCTGCTGGGATCTTCACTCCTTCACTCCCTTTCTATTCGCCCTCACTCCCCAACCCCACAGCGCAAGACCATCCTGATCGCCCACATGGGAACGGCCCTCATAGGAGTGGCACTATTTTGCCTACTGGGAGCGTCGTGGCTCGCGAAGGCCATGGCTGTTGCTGCGTCCATCACGTTCATGCAATGCACCAACTCCGTCCACCCCCCTGGTGCGTTATAAGCACGCTTCGGTACTCGTTATAAGCATGCGCCTGTACTCATCATAAGCATGTGTGTGTGGTATGTTGGCGCACCAAGGCCACAGCTGTTGCAGCTTCTATTACGTTCATGCAGTGCACCAACTCCGTCCACCCCCCTGGTGCGTTGTAAGTATGCCTCAGTACTCGTTATAAGCATGTCTCTGTACTCGTTGTAAGCATGTGTGCGTGGTATACGTTGGCTCGCTAAAGCTGCCGCAATTGCTGCCTCCATCACTTTCATGCAGTGTACCAACTCCGTCCACCCCTGGTGCGTCATAAGCATGCCTCAGTACTCGTTAAAAGCATGCGCCTGTACTCGTTATAAGCATGTGTGTGTGGTTTGTTGGCTCGCTATGGCCACAGCTGTTGCTGCCTCTATCAAGTTCATGCAGTGTACCAACTCCGTCCACCCCCCTGGTGCGTTATAAGCACGTCTCTGCACTTGTTCTATTGTAACTCTTTCCCCCCCTGGTGCCTCACTCCTCGTTCGCGTTGATCTTCCCCGTATCCACTTATCCATCATCCCTCTCCCCCATTATTTGCCCTGTATACCCTTATCGCCACCACAGCTGCTGGCCTTCCACTTATTTTCCTCGACGGCCCCAAGTTTCATCGACTCAAATGGTGGTATCCGCTCTTCCCTGGTCTAGTGGGATGTCTGTGGCTCTTCCTCGTGGTGAGTTGAACGTTTCGGGTGCTCAATTTCAAGAGCACATTACCCTTCTTTCACACAGTAATAATTATTAATTTCCAGCTGCTAAAAAAAAAACAGGCTCTCTTGTTACATGGGTTTTTCTGTGCCGTTGTGCGCTGATCCACTCCTGCCTTGCCTTTTGATGTTGTGCAGCAAGAGGGGATCCTCTTCTTGAAAGAGAAGGTGAAATTCTGATGCAGAGGTTTCAGATGTTGACAAGTAGCATGTTTGATATGTAATGTAATATTATTAATGTTTTGTCGAGTTCATGAAGTTAGTACGTGGTTCTGCGATATTCTATGTGTATCCATCAGTTTGCATGAAGAATATGCGCATAGTGTTTCAATATACGGGTTCTGCTGTTCGATGGCTGGTCGTGTACTGTACTGGCTGTCATCTCGTTCAATCCAATTTCATTCCGCCTTCACGTAACAAAAAGGACACGTGGGTGGAGCATATATCCAGCACAACAGTTGCCTCGCTGTCCAGGTGGCACGCGGTCGGCCACCTACACATCATCCCGAAAACAGCGCACACGGTTTCATGGTCGGAGGTGGTGGTGGTGGTGAGCATGTCGAAGCGCACATTTGCGCTTTTCGTTCGGACCGCACATTTTGCGTGTCTGCAGGGACATCCTCCACATGTTGTAAGATTTGGTTGCTCCAGAGAATCCCACCTGGTCCTCTCTCGCACCAACCCAACCCAGCTTCTCCTGTCTTTGTCGTACAACAAGCTCCAGCCAATGCACACTCGCGACGGTGGAACTATCGAGCACGCACAGCTTGTAGAGCACAGCTTTCGAGGAAATTCACCAGGAGAAGGAGGGGAATGACCAGCCCGTGAAATGCGAGCAACGGTTTTTTGTAATACTAATGGATCCCGCATTTCGCAAAGCATCAGACGTCAACCTTTTCTCGTCAACCGTCCATGTGAAGTAGCTTCAGTCATTAGGTTCTTCCAGTGCCACAAACGTCAGCTCCAAGTACATAATTCCGAGTCGTAACGCTTGAATACAATGCCCCTCCCCGTCACCGCTAATCGCGGCTCCGCTGCTGTCATCGCGGCCTCACTCGCACGAGCCATGGAGCAACCGACTTCAGGATCTAGTTCAACCACGAGCAGTGGGAGTGGGACTTACGTCGACCGTCGATGTACCGACTACGTCGTCGTGGGCGGCAAAATCGACGTCTACTTGGAGCGCTTCGAGGACATTTCTGGCGCTGCGGGAGCCAGCAGTATCGAAGAAACTCGCGCGAGCGTTCTTGGCTGCAGGTTTGGCTCTCCGCGACGGCGTCGGGTTACCTGTTTCGCTCCAGACGACGCGCAGCGTCGCGACCAACACGATGATGATGACGCGAGGGATGCAACATGCGCATCCGACGTGTCCTCATTTGGAACATGCGAGACTGTCGGCTTGAATGCTGCTGCTAATAAGCATCATGAGAGGCGAATCCAGGTCCTAGGAGCACGCAATGGGACCCCCATGCGGAGTCGAAGAGAGGGCTGCGATGGTGGTGAAGTTTCCCCTACCAAAGCTTCATCATCAGAGCAGAGAAGTCATCTTGTTCCGTTATTATCGATTTAGGGTTTGCTTAGTATCTTCATATTGCAAAAAGAAGAGGTCAAACCCTTGTCATGCATACAGAATTTGAATATTTATTGATCTAAGCACTGCATGAAATGCTTGGTCCTTGAAGAAGTTGAACCATATGGGTTCGGAATTAACATTGTCTGAGCATGCTTAAGTCTTCGAATTGCAAATCTATGGGTTCGGAATCAGCCTTAACCGTCGCTGCTCAAGACATACAGAGTAACGAGTTGATGTAAAAAGGGGCAAACAAGCAGGTGTGATGCTTCTCCCGCCTGGGAAACCCGGAACTCGATATAGAACATATTGTACACTCCTCCTTATGAAAACAAGATGGATCATACGATGCCTAATTGCCTAAGGTACAAATCGAATCTCGCAGCTGGTGGCTACATCTCACACCCACTCCCCTCCCCATCTCCACTACACAGTCATTCACCAAACCCACTTTCACCTTTCTTAACCACTCAAAGACACGTCCGCACACCGCGAAACAAGTTGCATTTCGGGAACTGCGGAGGATCAGATTCTGCGCACGTTGCTTCAATCATACGTGATCGGTGTCGTCGTGAGAACATCGCGAACGACTCACCTCACCGAATCACCCCGCCGCCAAAGCTGCGTTTCAACAAGGCTGGAACTGCAACGATGGCATCCTGTCTGCCAGCCACGATGCATTCACGTGGCAAACGACATTGCATCCTGTCAAACCTGGCAACAGTCCGTCGAATCAGATCCTTTCGGAAAGCAGCTGGGCGTGTCAACTTCCAGGTCAATCTACTCTACAGTGTGTTACAAATGCCAAAGGAAACGCTTGAGGCATTAGCGAAGCAAAAGGATTCGATTCATCTTCCAGCATTTGTTGACATCCGATGATTCTCATGGCGCTGTTCTGCAGGCGTTATTGGTTCCGCATATTTTGTGCGGGCAGGGCCTTCCGAGTGGTTTCAGGGCGCATCTGTTGTGGTGTGGTTGCGCGGATGTTGCATAGAAGTCCAGCACCATCCCATCCGCACCTTCGCGTTTTGGCGAATGTTCACATTTCGAAGGTTGGTACTGCCCCGCATAACTTGTGCGGGGGCTGATGCTACCTCTCGAGGTGGAATCAGCACAGCACAAATGTTGCGACATTTTGCCCGTCAAAGAAACAGCCGCGAACCAGCTGAAGGTTAAACTTTTGCACCCCAAAAGAGGTGTTCTGCGGGCAGAGGCGTCAAATTTGGCGCAAACAGGCTTGGCAAGCACTCGCTTATCACCAAACCTGGATAAGCAGAAAAGGCCTTATCAACGAAGATTCTGCGCATCCTGTTTCTTGCCAAAAAACACCTGCAGAACAACGCCCGTGTTGTTCACTTACGAAATTCTGGTCAGAGTTTGCTTGGGCGGGACAAACGGATATTTTTGCCCACATGCTTCCCGAAGAAACGCAGGTGGACCCTCGTGCTCCCCGTGGAAATGATCCCCGCGGATCAAACTCGAATCTCCTCCCCCACAGTCATCCCTGGCACCTGCTCCCCCCAATCATGTCCCACACACCCAATCAGAGCCTGTTTCACGGGAAGGCCAGCTCCGCTCGCCAGCATTTCATGCGCGGTTCACGAAGCCCCGCACCCTCGGCTTTGGCCCCAGGCCTTGCTCTGCATTCCGCTCGTTCTCTCCGCCCTTCCGCCCTTCCCTCTTCTCCCAATTCCCCTGGCAATGAATGCCTCTGCTGATCAAGCATAAAAGGTTCAGGCCTATGGCTTTCATAACATACCAACGTTCTATTTCCTGTACATTCCGTCCCTGGACTTCGAGCACGCGACTTGAGCTACATTCTTCGAGACTCTGACTCTCCAGAACATCAGAAGTATCGCGCAATTCAAGCAATCCATTCGCAAGCCGAGGCTTCTCTGTCAAACCCTAATTTGCACTTCCAGTATGGAATCCTCCGCCTCTCTGCCTTTCGTTCGCGCCTGCATGCCTCGTTCGCCCATCGTCGCCACATGCGGGATGGCCTCTACTTCGGCCACGTCAGTTTCAAATCTCACACCGGTGGTGCACGGAGCTGTTGCTGTCTACATCGACGACCTGGAGCGTCGCTCCAGCGCGCACTCACCTGCTGACGTGGAACTGACACGTACACGTGTTCTAGGCAGCCGACACGGCTCCGTCCGTCGATCCCGCCTGGCTACGTTCGATGAAGATGAAGAGACTTCAATCTCCAACGCCTGCGGGATGTCTGTCCATCGCCAAGAAATCCTTGGAACGCGCAACGGCACACCTAAGCGTCTGACAACGACGACAAAGAGAGCCGAAATCGAAGAGAATGATGAGCTCGCTCCCCTTCGCAAGACTGTGTCGCTCTGAAGCCAGTAAATCCTGTCATAGGCTTACCATAGTTAGTTTTTGTGTATATGCTTTTGTGCCCGCTGACAAATGTGTGTGGCAACTGGAAGCATGTACATTCATCACATAAGCTTTGTCTGGAAGATAGTGTTCATAATACATTTGCTTTGTTTCAAATATGGAAGGCCATGTCTGTAGATGTTACTGTGGTTTGTGACTGTCTGTGCTGTGCACCCAAAGAACCAACCTAAGAGAGTAGACAACATTTTTGGTCGGGCAATCGTCCAACTTTAGCACAACATCGGGTTCAAAATGTGGTGCCTGCCAAGCGCAGTAGGATGGACGGAGGGGAGGGATTGGGCAAGGCATTGTTCTTGTGCAGGTTTATGCCTGGCAATACTACACTGGGAAGTTTTTGTTAGAATATATATTTATATATATTTATGTACCTGCCTGTAGCTGTAGCTTTAGTGTAGTTATAAACTCTTTGTATTGGTGGTGCACCTCCTTTGTCTCCTATTTGTACCCTCGAGCCTATAGTGAACCCCCCTTCTTTCTCGACATTCCACTCTCTCGCCACTCTCCTAGGTTCCTAACCTAGCCTAGCTTCTTGACAGTTTTTTCAGCAGGAGAGGAGAGGACAACTTCCACAACCTCTTTGTGAACCTTAGCACATGACCGCCACAATTGCCGCCATTGTTGAACCTAGATTTATGCTCTTAGGGGTACAGCACGATGCTAATTTTGTTGACTGGTCTTGGTCCAACCAAGGGCTTGTCAAACAGGGTCCCACATAAGGGTGATGCACTGGCTTCCTTGGGTACCAGTGGGCGTGCAGTGCCTCATTCCAGCGTACAACGTTCACCTGCTCACCATTCGGTATTCAGAAATTATAAGCCATTAAAAAATTAATTAACATCAGCTGAAACTCTTTCAGTAACGTTGTCACCCGATTTCGCAACGTCTCGCCACCCGAGCGAAATCACGACACCCCTTTTTTAGTGATGTCTCTCCACCATGTTACAAAAATCTCGTCACGTCATGCTGACGAAGATATTTTTGGTGCTTTGCTGGGGCATTGCTGACGTTTCCCTTTCGCAGGTGAGATGATCGAGCCGCAGTCTGCTGTTGATTGCACCGAACCAACCCTTCGCGCGATCAGACCTGACACACACCATGCGACTCGCATGCGACTCGTTTGTTTCTGGCGGTCGGAACGAAACGAACCGCCAATGCACGGAGCTGCACTGTTCTATCCGAACAATTTCCTCACCAACGG